CGCTACGTTTCCATATAGAGCCTACATGAGACGGAAAGTAGAAATTCATTGAGGAACTCTCAATTACTTGAAAATGTATGATACTATTATCAATTGATTTTCAAAAATTTTAAATTTATCAATTTTATTTCAAATAAGATAACCAAAAAAAAACATAAAATTAGATTGGATGTAATTAATCGAAATAAGACTATCACATGAAAAAAATGTGAAATATAAATTAGTTTGTGAAAAGTTAAAAAAAAAAAAAAAGACACTACGTCAATCATCTAACATCAAACATGAATATAAATAAATTTATATTATTTTGTTCAATCTCACGCATAGGTAAAAACCTTTTGACATTATTAAAAAAAAAAGTAAAATGATGGTTTACTAGTCACTAGTATTATTTGAAATACTATTCACTCAAACTCATTTGCATTATTCACTAAGACTCATGTGCACTATTCTTTTACAATGTAATGGTATTTTTGTGATTTTTGAGTTTTTTCTTGGACATTCATATGCAAATTCAAACTTATGTTCTACTTTGATCCTTAATGTTTTTAAAAGATATTTTTTATCCCTAAATGGATGAAGCACACATGCTTGTTTTTTTCTTTTATTTTTTTTTCTTTTGTGTTTCTTTTCTTGTAATTTATTTTACTTTTTTTTATAATTGAATTGCATGCAAAAATTAGAAAAATTAATTATTATTTATTTTGGTCCCTAGATGGACCAAGCACACATGCTCACCTTCTTTATTTTTTTAGCTATTGCTTTTTTTTTTCTGGAAATTTATTTTAATTTTTTTATTATTGAATTAGATGAGAAAATTATGATAAAACAATTTTTATTTTGTTCAATTTTCCATATAAGCTAGTGATTATGAAGTATATTCGTTATATTTTTATATTTTTGAATTAACACACTCACACACAAATATATATATATTATTATTATTGAAAATTAATTTTTTAATTTTTCATTTCTTATGAAAATTATTGTCAAATTAATTATGCATCTACACAAATAACACCAACTATTTGCTATAGATTTTTTTAGAAAACATAATTTTAGAAGAATCACCTAATAATTCGAATACAGCTTTTATACTAATATTATTGAGTATTTTTTAAATAAATATATATATATATATATATAAAATGTATATATTTTCTTAAAAAGTTATTCTTGTCATTAGCATTAAACAAGAATAAAAAACATTCATTTGTTAATCTTTATACAAATTTTCATATTAATTAATACTTTATTTTTTCAACACAATCTTATAAAAAAAAATTTTAAGATGCTTTTAAAATTTATATTTAGATTATTATAGGTATTTATTTGAGAATGAATGCATTAAAAAAAAGAACAAATTGTGTTTTTTTAACTACAAAATTCATGAAAAACATAAAGAAGAAATTAAATTAAATTAAAATATTTGATTAAAAATTATGAAATTAATTTAATAATTTTTAAAAAATAATAGTAGATGATTGGTGTTATGTCCGTAGATGCATAGTTATTTTTTTGATTATATATATATATCATGGCTATGCTTAATGGGTTAAAGTGTGCAACATAAATTGAATTTCTTTTTTTAAAAAAAAAAACTTAAGTTGTAAGGAATATATTGAAGTTAGTAAACTGTAATAAAAACATTTACAAAATTAATTTTGATATATTTTAATTATATAAAAAAATAAAACACGTGAATTTTATTTTTTAATTGATTATTTATTGAAAAAAAAACTTATTTGAAAATCCGAGCATTAAGAAAAGTAAATCATTTTTTTTTCAAATCAAATTATTTAAAAAGAACAAAAATTAATTTGATGAGAGTTTTCAAAAAAAAAAAAAAAGACAAAACGAAGAGATCAATTTTAAATAATAAGAATCTTGTTGTTTTTTTAATTACAAAATTTATGAAAAACGTAAAGAAAAATAAATTAAATATAATATTTTTTATTAGAAATTATGAAATGAGAAGAAATTTTTTCTTTTTCTTTTAATTTTATATATTATAGTTGACCAATAACATAGTATAGACTATTGAATTAAAAAAATATATATTTGTTAGATCTACGTCGTAGTATGAAAAACCGACTAGTAATCTCTAAAGTTCTTGAGTATTAATTAAGAAACTCAAAGACTTAAATAAAATGAAATAATAAAATAACGCAAAGCAATTAAAAGATGCAAATATTTCCTATTAATTAAATCCTAGTGGCATAAAGATCCAAATAAAGGGTTGGTAATACGCTAAATATATCTATGCCCATTTTTCAATATATATATCGCTTGTTAAGTCTTATATTAAAAAATAAGACTAATTATTTCTTATTACATAATAATAACTAAATAAATTAAAATAATTATTACTCCAACTTGCTATGTTATTTTTAAATACAAAAACTGGGCAGAGATTGCCTCAGTCATTGTCTGAAGTTTCGAGACCTTAATGGGCATTTTGCGTGAAACTAGGCAGCCGACATTTTGACATGGAAAATCACTTGTTAAGTCTTATATTACACGATATGACTAAGTATTTCTTATTACATAATAATAACTAAATAAATTAAAATTATTATTACTCCAACTTGCTATGTTATTTTTCAATACAAAAACTGGGCAGAGATCGCAACCGTCATTATTTCGTATTTGACTTTCGAATGCAAGAAAAACAATAAAAGTGAAAAGCCTCTAATTTAATTCGGACTAGTTGGTGTTGTGCTTCTTTCCAAAAATATATAATGGGCTCTCATTTTGAAGAGCAAGGATAATATAAACCAGTTTTAAGAAGCTGCAAGAGATATCCCATTCTTTTAATATATATATATATATATATATATATATATATATATATATATAACATGAATTTATTTAATCTAAAAACTACTTATGTCAATAAACATTTATGGTACTATCCCATTATGGTACAGCCTTAACATATTCTGGGTCAAGTAATCATACAATAGGAACCATACAAAATCATTATTTTTTTTATATATAATCGTACAACGTAGTCTTTTAGGTTATGTAACTATACAAGAGGAGCAAGATATATATATACAACCAACTTAGTCAACAAAAATGGCCCAAAATGAACCGTAAAGAAATAAAAAATACTGATAAAAAAAAACCTGAAAAAATGGAGTGTTTGATATTTAATTACTATTTACCCACTATTTACTTGGTATAGTTATAATTTTTATGTATACTATTTATTTGGCATTGTAGTAACTTTTGCTATTCGTTCATGTATTTGTGATGATATTGTTGTGATTTTTGTTTCTTATTCATGCATTTGTAACAACATTGTTATGATATTTAGTCTTTTTTCATACATTAGATATGAAGTTTAAGCAAATATTGCACTTTAATATCTGATTTTTTTCAAAACTTTTATTACAATTTTCAACTTCATTTATATTATGGCTTGGTCACTAAATGTAAAAAGAAATAAAAAGAGAGAATCCGACAGCAAAGTGTATTGACCAATTTGATTGTCGATTTTGGTCTTTATTTGTTAATTTTAAAAGAAAGATTTTGTTTATAGTGGTCCTAAGTCATAAAATAGTCGAAGAAAGAAATTGATACCCCAAAATATTCAATAGAGTTTTCGAATTTAATTTAGATTTTTTAGTAAGAATATCTTTGAACTCTAGAGTAATAATTAATATTAAGAAGTAAAAATAAAAAGAGAGAATTAATTGTTATATGTGTGAAGCCTATGCACCTGAACCAAGCATATACAAAAACACTTAGCATTTACTATTTTTTTTAATATAATTTTTTGATATTTTGAAATTAATTTAAAAATATTTGTTAACAAGGAAAAAATTGAAATCCAAGTGTTTTATTTACTTCATATATATATATATATATATATATATATATATATATATATATTTGTTAGTTTTTTTTTTTATTTGAATTGACTATGCATACATACTGAAAACACTTAATATTCACTATTTTTTTATATCTTAAAATCAATTTCCTTCAAATAACATGATTAAAATAATGTTTTTTAAAAAATACTCCATGGTACCATACTTTTCAAAAGATTTTTTTCTATACTAATATTGTTGATTATTTTGGATATATAATTTCAAAAATTATCTTCTCATCGATATTTAATAAGAAAAATAACTAATTAGTCTAGCAACTACAACACTAATTAGTGGAGCAAATTCCATAGTATATCATAGATTAGTTTCTTTAGTTTTGATAAATGAATTAAAAACTAATTATGTAGTTTTTTTATTTATTTAATGTTTTTTTATGAAAAAAATAGATATTATGAAAAATTGACGAGGAAAAAAATATTATCTTAACTGCTTTCCATATATATCCTAGAATATTAAATCTTAACCACTAGTACTATGTTTTTGGAGGCCCCAGGCTGGTTGCCCATTGATTCCATCGTCTCAATACAAAGTCAAATACAAATCTGTAAAATAGCAACATGCAAATAGTTGTTTCCAGAATAAGATTGTCTCATGAAAACTTGTACAGTTTTACTAAACAAATTAACAAATAAATTTTGTTAGTTTACGAAATATAAAAGCATATTTTATTAGTTTTCTTAATGAAGATAGGCAAAGACTTTATTGATAAATATTAGAAGATATGACGAGGCCAGTTGACAGATAGAGGATTTTTTATGGGAAAATATTAAAGAGTAAAATGAAATTAATTAATCATAAATTAAAGACACACAAATAGAATTACAATTTCACTAGTATGAAAGCTCTATATAACTTTTGAAAGTCAATAAATATTGGAACAACCTCAAGTCCTCAACATTGATCAACGGACTTAATTTATCTCCAATTAAAACCATCAACCTCAATTTTGTCGGTAGAATAAAATCTGTTAGAAATATCTGTTCTATCGTTTCCATCTATTAAAAAGCCTCCCACAAACACTTTGCCACGTACTAAACGACCACCCACCATAAATCATATCCTGTCAATTGCTACCTCTTTCACACCCTTTTCTTAACCATGGAAGTCTTCTCACTTCAAAGTCTGCTACTACTCTTCTCTGTTTCCCTCTGTCTCTACCTCTACGCTCTCTTCCCTTCCAAAAAGAAAACGACCAATGACAAGGGCTTCAAGAATTATCCCATAGTTGGGGCCTTACCAGAATTCATAAGAAATCGTCACCGTTTCCTTGACTGGACGACAGAAACCCTCAGTCACTGCCCCAGCAACACCGCTGTCTTTCGCCGTCCTGGCAAAGTCCATGGCATCATCACCGCAAGCCCTTTGAACGTTGAGTATTTTCTTAAGACGAACTTTGAGAACTACCCGAAAGGCGACAGGTTTATCGGCCTTCTTGAAGACTTCCTCGGCCGGGGAATCTTTAACTCGGATGGTGAGCTATGGAGAGTCCAAAGGAAAACTGCTAGCTACGAGTTCAAAACAAAGTCACTTCGAAATTTTGTCATGGATAATGTTGAGGTGGAAATTTCGACAAGATTAGTTCCAATTCTTGCAAAAGCTTCGAAAACAAAGCAGGTGTTGGATTTGCAAGACATATTGGAGAGGTTTGCATTTGATAATATTTGTAAAGTGGCTTTTAATGTTGATCCTGCTTGTCTTGGCGGTGATGGAACCAGTGGTGGTGAGTTTATGCGGGCGTTTGAAGATGCCGCAACACTTAGTTCTGGGAGATTCATGTATGTTCTTCCTCTTTTTTGGAAAATTAACAAGTTTTTCAATATTGGGACAGAGAAAAAACTGAAGAGATCAATTCAAATTGTCCATAAATTTGCGGATGAGATCATACAGTGTAGAATGGAGCAAAAAACTGAAAAGAAAGATGAAGATTTGCTATCCCGGTTTATAGGAAAAGATAAGAATTCAACCGAATTTCTTAGAGATATTGTCACAAGCTTCATTCTTGCAGGACGAGACACAACTTCCTCTGCTTTGAGTTGGTTCTTTTGGCTATTATCATCAAACCCTGATGTAGAAAGGAACATATTGAAGGAGCTTGAAACAATTCGGTCACGAAACGGAAAAAAGATGGGCGATACTTACAGTTTTGAAGAGCTCCGAGACATGCATTATTTGCACGCTGCAATTTCAGAGACATTAAGACTGTATCCACCCGTACCAGTGGATACAAAAGCTTGCAAAAGTGATGATGTTTTGCCGGACGGTACATTTGTTGGAAAGGAATGGTTTGTTACATATAATGCATATGCCATGGGCAGGATGGAGAGCATATGGGGCAAGAATTGCCGCGATTTTATGCCTGAAAGATGGCTAGAGAATGGAATATGCAGGCAAGAGAGTACATTTAAGTTTCCGGTATTCCACGCCGGGCCGAGAATTTGTCTAGGGAAAGATATGGCTTATATTCAGATGAAATCAATAGCAGCATCAGTGATTGAGCGGTTTGAGATTGATGTGCAAAATAAAGAGATGTGTCCAGAGCATTTGTTGTCTTTGACACTAAGGATGAAAGGTGGATTACAGGTTGAGGTCAAGGAAAGATGAGTGGAAATGAGTTGAGTTCAACAAGATTTCCATGCACGATTAATATTATCAACTAGCTTTATGGAAATCTATCATTTACAAATATTTGGTCAAGTTAGCCAGTCCCATGGCTGTAAAATTCGTTAAGAATTTATTTCCTTCTGGTTGTATATCTTTGCAAATTTGATAGATATGAATTTATGTAGTTCTTTTTTTGGAAGTAGACAATAAAGAATACTTATATTTTCATACTAACTTGCATGTTAACGGAAAATAAATTCCATCTCCTAATTATTTTAATAACGCATTTCACATTACAAAAAATTGCAAAATAACGATGAAATTTTTGTTGCTAAATCTTTATATTCCTTCACTATTAATTTCTAGCGATGGATGTGCGACAAAATTATTCCATACCTAAAATGATCATTGCTATTTTTTTAACAATGAAAATTATTGTCCGTCGTTGATAAGCAATGACATATCTATCACTAATGTGAAGTATTTACATTGCTAAATCAAAGTAAACAATCATCTTTTTGCTAGGCTTTGAATCTATCACAAAATCATCGTTATTCTCCCGTATTTTCATTGCTAATTATACTCGCTAATTTACCTCGCAAATCCATTGTCATATTCGTCACTATTTAGTGACCGTTTCTATATCCGTTGCAAAAAGATTTAATTTTGGTCATTAATTCAACTACCGATCGGTTGCTAAATGAAGGATATATATATATATATATAGTCGTTTGATGTTAATTGTAGTAGCGGACAATTAAAAATAACACTTTATTATGATATAAAATATTATTTAATAAAATTAAAATAAAAATATATATGAGTTCAAGTGTACAAAAACATTAAAAAATTAAAAAGAAAAAAAAAGCTAGACCTCATCATCATCTTTTCCTCGATCATCTTCTGGCCCTCGAATATTAAGAGGAATAGTTGAGTCTTGGGTTGGGGGTCGGCATGAGAGACGTGAGTCCGCTCGTAGCTCCCGTAATGCCACCTATATCATCTTCATCTTACTCTATAGATTGTGAAATTTATCCTTCGCTCTTGAAACCGTCAAGTATAGTCAATCTCCATCCTTCGTATCCTATCTTCATACTAGGCGGTAACCTTCCGAACATTATCATCGTGGTACTACAATGTGGTAAAGGACGAGCTAGTGTCATTTAGGAAGTAATATTGAGATGCCTATGTTTTGAGACCGTACACTCTTTGTTTCTTCTCCCTTTCCTACAACATTAAGATCTATCTTGGTCATGCCGACGTTTAGAGATGATGAATCACCCTTTTGTTGTTTTTTTTTTTTTGTTTTTTTTTTACAATGACTCCATGCGCTCCTACGTAATTTAAATAATTATAATATTCAATCATAATTTTTTTAGATTATATTGACGGATATATATTTACAAAAAAAAAAAACTAACCATTATTATTTGGGACTGCTTGTTGATGAATGACCCATCTATTTGCTTGTGAGTGTTCGAAACACCTCATAAGGATTTGGGTTATGACCCAATTTATTATGTTGAGAAAAATAGACAAAATAATATGAGATGAAATAAATAAAAATATTAATTTATAATACAATAGATAATATGATTTACCAAATGTTCAGCGTGCTCAATCATAGATATGGACTCCTTCGTATGCCTAGATGGACCAAGCACCGACACCATCTATCTCCGACATGCGGTTCCACTACCAAAATTTTGCTAAAAAAACCATCACTCGCTTGTCAAAAATCTATCGTTATATGTAATTAGCGATAGATTAAAGACAATATAAATTCCGTCACTAATATGGTGGTTGCTATTTTTTTAATGACCAAATTTGTCTTAGTCGCTAAATTATTGACCTTCCAACACTAAATCATTCTAAATTAGTCGTCCGTAATGTCTTATAGCCATTGCCAAATTGTCACTATTTTTACTTAGATCCATCTCTAAATATAGATGAAATGGGTTGTCTCTAAATTATAGTGGCTAATATCCTCATAATTCATTCACTAAATTCATCGTTATTTAACAATTATATATGTATCCTTCGCTAATTTACCTCTTTCACAATTTGAATATCCATATTTTAATCCTCACATCACACTAGCAAACAACACAATCATTATGCGGATCGAGATTGACAATCATCCTAGATTTTGGATTTTAGAATAAATATATACTACTTTTATTATTTAAAATTGATTTTTTTATTGATTATAAAAATTCTCATCAAGTTAATTTTTATTCTTATATAATTTTATTTATTAATAAATATGATTATTTTCTCTATGTATGGATTCAAATAAGTTTTTTTTTATTTACTAATTTTTGTTTACTTAATTCTTATATAATCAAATTTTAAAAATAGAATATGTGGTTACAGATCACTTGCAATTGTAACCATATAACAATAAAATAGCAAATCATTTAAATAAAATAGTGAGTCCATTGCAATTGTAGCATATAACAACAAAACAACAAATTATTTAAGTAAAATTATGAGTCCCTTACCATTATAACCCATAACAACAAAACAACAAACCATTTAAGTATAATAATATGTCCCTTGTGACTATAGCCATATAATAACGAAAAAACTACTAATTTAAATAAAATTATGTGTTCATCATCATATCATTTCCATCATAATTTGAACATCCATATTTTAATCCTCACATCACACTAGCAAACAACACAATCATTATGCACACCGCGATTGACACTCATCCTAGATTTTGGATTTTAGAATACTACTCTTAGTATTTAAAATTGATCTTTTTGATTTATTATAAAAATTCTCATCAAGTTAATTTTTATTCTTATTTTTATATAATTTTATTTATTAATAAATATGATTATTTTCTCTATGTATGGATTATGGATTCAAATAATTTTTTTTATACTTATTTTTATTTGCTTAATTCTTATATAAAAAATAGAATATATGTATTTTATTTTCTTATTCTTTATATAATCAAATTTTATAGTTTTTATTGCACTTAATTAACTTCAATATATATTTTATAATTTAATTTTTTAAAATATTTTTTAATTTATGCTATACATTCTCACACATTGAGTACGGTCATGATATATAAAAAATTAATAATAACAATAATAGAGTCATTGATTTTATTATAAATCAATTATGAATTTACACACAATACCAACTATTTGATATTGTTTTTTAATATTTTAAAATTAATTTTTTAATAAAATAATTGAAATAAGATTATAGAATAACCAACTAATAATTCAAACACAATTTTGTATACTAATATTATTCATTATTCCGTAAATAAATATATATAAATCAAATATACATATTTTTTTAAAAAAAATCTTCTCATCGGTAAAAAAGCTTCATTTGTTAATTTTCATATAAGTTTTTATATTAATTTTCACTTTATTTATTCAAAGCAATATTTTGAAAAAAATATTAAGACATTTTTTAAAAAATGTATATTAAAATTTATTTATTATATTTTTAGTTTGGTCCGTAGCGTAACGCGAGAATCCAAACTATTCATACGCCTAAAATTCCTATTCACTTGCTATTTACATGCATAGAGTTACTATTCACTTGATGCTAATTTAAATATTTTTTTTATGCATTTTTTGAGCATCAATATGTAAATTTAACATTTTTTTCTATTTTTATCCCTCATGTTGTAACATTTTTTTTTCAATCCTTAGCTTTCATTTTCAAGCGAGTGTGTGTGTGTATATATATATTCACATGCATAGAATTACTATTCACTAGATGCCGGTTTAAGTAATTTTTTTGTATGTTTTTAGGCATCAATATGTAAATTTAACACTTTTTTCTATTTTTGTCCCTCACATTGTAACTTTTTTTTTCAATCCTTAGCTTTCATTTTTATTTCATTTTCAAGCGAGTGTGTGTGTGTGTGTACTATCTTTTTATATTTTAAAATTAACATATACTTCAACTTATTTACTCTTATTATTTAAATTTTATTTTTTGAATTTATCTTTTTTATGAAAATTTTCATCCAATTAATTTTTTTTATATAAAATTTTATTTACTGATAAATATAATTTATTTTTCTCAATGTTTGAATTTTAGAATAAAATTTTAAAAAATGATTGTTTTTTCTTTTAAAAAATAAAATAATATAATATATATCATGAATTCTTAGAATTTTTAAATGATAGTTGCATATATATAAATATATAATTATTTTTTGGAAAGGTTAAAAGTGTATTTCAAATAATTTATCTCGGTTCATCGGTTATGGTCAAAACATATAAAAAACTATTGAATCATTTTTTTATATTAAAAATTAACTATACATCTTCAAACATAATGCAAATTATTTACTATAAATAGTTTTTTTAACATTATAGAACCAATTTATTTGAAGTAAAATAATTAAAAGAATTTTTTAAAGGAACCAATCAATTATTCAAATATAATTTTTTAATGCTAATTTTATTAATTATTTTGTAAATAAATATATACAAAAAATTCTCATCAATATTAAATAAGAATAAAATTTTATTTTTTCATTAGTTAATTTTTATGTAAGTCTATGCATTAATTGTAACTTTATTTTTTAGATACATTCTTATATATATATATATATATATATATATATATATATATATATATATATATATATATATATATTGAAAGTATTTATTTTTGAATTCTCAATTAATATTTCGAGTTTAAATTATTACAAATTTTTATTTAAGAATCCCTGAATAAAAGAAGAATAATTCATGTTTTTTTTAACATAAATTTTATGAAAAACCCACAAAAAAGAGTAGTAATTAAATAAAAAAATTAATGAAAAAAAATTAAAATGATTTTGTTCTATCTACCCTCAACAATGCACGGGTAATTTAAACAATTAATGTTCTCATCGGTATTAAATAAGAAAAAAAATTTAATTTGTTAATTTTTATAAAATTCTATCTATTAATTATAAATTTATTTTTTGAAAGACAATATTATGCTTTTTAATGTTTGTTTTTAATATTTGATTAATATTTTAGTTAAAATTATCATAATTTTTTATTTTAAAATCAATTCTTAAAGAAGAATGATGTATATTTTTTTAAGCAAAAACTTTATGAAAAAAGTAGAAAAATTAATTAAATAAAAAATTTTAATTATAAAATTTTAAAATAATTTTGTTTTACCAAACCAATTAGCTTAGCGTGACAGCCGATTAGTATATACCTAAACAAACTCAGGGTGTAAAATTAACTAAAAACGCACGCAGTTACGTACTAACGTTCCTCTTCCTCACTCTCCGTGTCAAAATTATCCCAAGCTCTAGCAACTAAAATCTGACACCCTGAAGCGAAAGAAAATAGAAAACCCTGACCGAAAGTTGCCCAGTCCGCCACCATCTGCCACCTCTTCCAGTCGGGCCAACCGAGCCTCCAGCCCTCAGCGCAAGTCACTAGCAGCAGCTCATTGCCAGTTCATTCATCTCCAGTCCAAAAGTCCTTTCACTTATCCCACTCTTATTCAATGCGAGCATTGTTGAAATCCAAATGGGTGTATTGAATACTGTTAAAATAGAGTTGAAGCGGAGTGTTAAAAAATCAAAACCCAGATCCTATACAGTCCGTTGTTGCCTTGGCATCTCGAAAATAAACCTAATGGGCCATATACATTTTGGAGTATCCAAAAATTTTGACCATCAATAATTAAAAAATTTTGGTTAGTACCCAAAAACATATATGGTTTTTTTTTTTTTTTTTTTTTTTTTTTTTTGACAAAAACTGAAATTTCAATTCCAAAAACCATAAAACTTAAATTCAGTTCAGGTTTAGTTATAGTTTTAGATCGAACCAAAATATGCAAAACCATAACCGATTCTCACTCCTACCTTGACTTAGAGTAGCTTCAAATAACCAAAGCAAGCACTCTTTTTATATGGAAATTCAAATTCCATTAAAGAAAATAAAAAAGAAAACCCAACGATGCTGGTTTCTGCTAAATAAAATTATACTCGCTGAAAAACGCTAAATAGGAATCCCATATTATGTATGGTATTATAAAACAAACTGCACTAAGAAAAGCTTCGAGAAAAGGCCATGGAGCCAAGCGAGCAACAGCAATATACAATATCCTTGAAATTCTTTCCAATAGCACTTCATTTGTCAAGCATTGTGCATCCACATCGTAATGGTTTGATGGCTCAAAACAGTTTCAGGATTTGCTAAAAGCTCAAGTCACGCTAAATTATTTGGTTGCAAGATTTAGGACAACGGCGATATCGCTGATAATCCAATCAATCGGAAATTCAAAAATCATTGGAAATTTTTATTTTTTATTTTTTGTTTTTTTCAAATAGCAGAAAACCAAGAAGAAACGGCCAACTGACCAGGTAGACTACAAGAACAAACAGATTAATGTAGCAAACTTAGTTCAGCAATCACCAACAGCAAGATGATAATTAGATTAACTCCTTATTCTGTTGGTGTTGAAGTAATGAACAACCAAAAAATGTTATTAGCACTCGGCCTTGTCATCAACACAATAGGCTTTAAACAAGTTTATAAAGAACTACATGGATAATCCAATTAACAGTCATTGCCCATGCAATATGGTTGAAAATGATTAATATTGCTGAAAAAAGACACCAACTTAAACTCCTAGTGATGATGAGCCTGCACATATCGTAAACCACAATACTTGCAGACAGCTGGCTCCTTCAGGTCGAGGCATATAAACTCAATTGGATGCCCAAGCGCAGGGTTAGAGTCTACAGCAGTAACAAATTATCAATGTTAGCATCAAGTAGTTGGTTCTTTATTCATTTACTTATTTCAGGGTTTGGAAGAGTGCGGTAGGGAAGAGGTTGTAATCTGACTTCAAGTTAGAGTAACAGGTTGAACTTTCAAATATCTACCTGGTTATCAAGGTTTACAAGAAAGAAGCACAAACTCACCTCCTCCACATGCAACAATCCTGCCTTCAACCTTGATAGGAGGAATTTCATTGATCAACTCCATTGGAGATTTCTTGGTAGTATCCTACAAATAAAAGCAAATGTTGCTTATTTTTGCCGTCCACTCATTAAAGAGATTCAAAATTGGAATTAAAAATATGCTTAGGTCTCAAAATTGATTTACAGATTCAATGCAACAAGCAGAGAGTAACTGTAATTAAACCACTAACAGATAATCAGAGAACTAAAAGATAGCTGCTTTAGCAAAAAATATTCCATAGGCACAAATCATAAAACACAAGCAAACCTCTCAATGCCCCTACTGGTAACACAGAATTAATTTGGAGTATTCTCTAAATCTAAAGAGTCTGAGATCATCATCATCTGAAGCGTCTCAGAAAGTATAGGCTCATAATCATTAATGCAAATGCGTTCAAACTAGAGTCTAAAATTTGAAAAGTGTGCATTGTTCTCCCAAAGTTGAAAGCATCAAAGACTCAACCTTTCACTAGGAAAGAAAACAAATACAAAGTGACAACACTCTCACTTCCGTCAAGACTAGCAACTTCTCAGTTACAAAACCAAATCAACAAAAGCCTTTTGTTTATATATATAAGGATTAATAGCTCAATCTGTCTTTATATGATAAGATAATTCTCTAATTTGTCTTTATATTCCTAATTGAGTCAATTTTATCTTCAAATATACGTTAAGTTTCTAATCTATCCTTGTGGCAAGATTTTCAGGCAAAACCACTGGAATTAGTCACGTTATTTGCCCACGAAAGCCTTCCATTTGTATAGCTTACAAGGGCATTTAGGAAATAAAAAATAGTTATGTACAAATTATGTGGCTAATTCTGGTAGTTTGGCTTGAAAATCTTGCCAAAATGAAATATTAAAAACTTAACATGTACCCAAAAATAAAATTAGCTCAATTAGAATTATATGAACAGATTGGAAAATTGTCTTATATAAGGACAGATTGAGTCCTTAATCCTCTATATAAAGGCCTTTTGTTTTCTTAGGCATCATTATCTACCTTTATGACAAATAATATACAAAACACTCAAGGGAATGTGTTGTTCCATGAGATTGAAAAAACTACATCATCGGTTAACATTCAAAAAATTAACAAAAGACAAGAGGAACAATGTCCTTCACCAATTAGTATAAAAAATTGGAATAACAAATATTAGTAAATAAGAACATGCATAAAAAAGCACACATGAACCAGGGAATCACATCTATTACTACAACAACATAATATCTATAACACAAACAAAAATTAAATAAAATAAAAAAGCAAATTCCATATCCTCTTAAAATTTTCCTTTAAAGAAAGGAGCAGATCATCATTTTTTTTAAAAAAAACAAAAAAAGGCTTCCAGAAGATAAAGGCCGATGGAAGTTGCAAGAGACTTCCAGTCTTAAGAGCATGGCATGAGAGGAGGGAAAAAAAAAGGTCCTAGCAACAATGGCAATATTTGTCTCCATAAACCAACAATCATTTAAACAGCTATGCAAGAAGGCACATACATTTTAATAAAAGGCATGTAAATCATAACAAGGTTGTTGTATATTTAAGTCAGGAAGGGAAAGAACGCACTCTAAAGGTTGAAGAAATATGGTTAATATTGTAAATTCACAAAACACAAACAAATGTAGCAAGTTACAGTGTCTAGACGTTTCAAAGTTGCTAAGACCGATGCCTTGACTTCTGTCTAAGTCTATGACCACAAAAGAAAACCATTTATCATTGCTTGATCTACAACTTAAAGCCATGTTATGGAACAAATTGTCAATCATCAATGTGTGTTTCCCCAAAAACCAGTTTTACGGTTTTTTTAAATTTACAATATACCCACCCCATCCCTATAACTCTCAAGCAAAAAAGCCTATATGCAGTACAGACCTGCATATGCATTTACCATCATATGGCAACAGAATAGAATACCCTTGGCAACAGAATATGTGATTATTAACAAAAGGCAAGGCAATTGCTTCAAATTTATAGTACAGCTCAAATAATCAAACAAAAAACAACTGCTAGTTTAAACTGAAAGGATATAGAAATTTCTGCTGCTTGGTACGAGAAGCTGATTATCATCATAGTTAGTCCATGACAATGAATCTTAACATCTGATGATAGCTTTACTTTTCTAAGGCAAAGTAATGTTGTGCTGATTTCTTTTAGATGGAAGTTTTCTTCTCGTGTAGAGTTAAAAAAAAAAATTGCCTTCTTATGTTTCCTCACATTTTCAATAAAACCTTTAAAACCCATCCATTCTTCAAATCCATTAAATTAATAACCCACAAGCTGCCTCATCCAATTACTCCTAAATTTATCAAAGGTGGAGTTATCTGTTAGTCTAATTAAATTAATTAAGAAAGATTAATTTTTTAAAGGAAAAGTAAAGAAAAACCCTTAACAACATGGATTCTTAAATAAGTAAATAAAAACATTAAAGAATACCGATATTCACTTTGGAATTTCCTTCATCCAAAAACATAAATTTGAAGAATTGGACATGTAATCCAAATAAATATCCCAAATTAATTAAAAAGAAAATACCTGCATCCATTTAGCAGTGTGATTGCTGATTTGACTGCTAACCAAACTATAATTTCTTGTGCTCAAAGCAGCACCGACATTCGACGATCCGCTTCTGCTTACAAGGCTTCTTAACAAGCTCGATGCCATCATCGCTCTCTCTCTCTCTCTCTCTCTCTCTCTTTCTTTTTGTCTATTATCCAGGCCGGTAAATATATACAAAATAAAAGAAGAATATTGGGGATTTTTATTTATTTATTTATTAATATACTAAAGGAAAAGAAATTGTTGTTTTTCTTTCGTTAATAAGTTGGGTGGGCCTATAAAGTTTGATGCGGCCCATTAAGAAACGAATAACATGTAGTTTTTTGGGTTATGTTTTTTTTTTTTTTTTCAGTAAACGGAAATAGATAATTTATTTGTTTTTAGATTTTCTTTTTTAAAAAAAAAAAATTCAAACTTACAATTTTCGAAAACTACTCTGTTGGTTTCAAAACAAAATTTGGCAACCTGCTGTCGATGTTTACATATGTATATAAAAGTCATGTTTTATCTTTTTGTTTCCAAAAATTTTTTCAAACAGAAGTTGCAAATGAAACCTGGCAGATCCGTTGACTGTGTTAAATTAAGATAATTACATTGCAAAAGCAAGCAATGGATATTTGGTTAAAAATAACAATAATGATATCCAATGCATGGTTTATAACCATAAAATTAAAATAAAATAAATTCAGGGATGGATGGATGGATTTTGAAATATTTTATTGAAGCTCATGTAAAGGGAAAAAGCTGTGCTGACAGATTTCGAAAAAACTTTATCTTGCAGGGAGGAAGGATTAAAGAACATTCAGTCAGTAATAGCATAATACAAGTAGGTCGATTGTCCTTCCCTTAATGAAGGGGGTATTATCATGCATTGCATTATCAGCATCAACAAAGGCAGTGATGAATCGGAAACCATTCCGTCCGTTTACAAAAAAAATGTTTTCATTGATAAACAATACTAACTTTGCAGTACTGCACATTCCCATTTCTCTCAAAATTTGAAGAAAAAAGATTCACATTCAATCGATAGATGAATGCTTGCTTACTATACGTGCATCAACTTCACTGCTACGCCTTGAGAATTTTTCCTTGTGCAGCTGAACACCCGAAACCCAGGAGCACAGCCATGGGTGGTGAAAAGCTATCTTTTGTTGTCAACGTATACAAACAAGATGGAGGGTAGCGCGAATGCCTTACTTCGGGCCTGGGTCATAGGGTACAGAATAGAGATCCTCAGGTAGCATACCTACATTGATGGTGTACTCTGATGAACAATTCCTTCCTCATACTAAATTTCAAACCATAGTTTCAGATTTTTTAAGCTGTAGCTGTTGGAGCTCTAAATCCTCCAGCATGTCGCTACAGGTACACAACTATGTGGTATTTACTCATACTTGCTCCTCATTGAAGTTTCAGGTATCTCACAGGATCCTCAGTCTTCATATTTCATACAGCTGAGAGCTCTATCAAAGGTTTTGCAACCACATGGCATTTGTTCAACATAACAAATCTATCGCGTTGCTCACTGTCAAATAGTACCTTGGTCAGTTGCATGTGGTTTGTGGCTGCAGCACTTTATCTTCAATCCAACTTCCAGGTCATTGAGGAACAGGATCCTCACGCTTTTCATGGATTCCAAAAGAACTTCAGCTTCGAGTTTCTTTCCAGCTGATTTGTACAGATGCACAGCCGCACTCATTATAAATCTGTCTGGTTTGCTTGACTCCCTGATCTGTTCAAAATATTTGATGCCTTTCTCCACATGTCCGTAGTCCATGTAACCTCTAAGCATAGTCCGACAACAGACAATGTCTGGATTTAAACCAGTTGTTAATAGTTGCATATAAACCCTTTCTGCTTCAACCATGAGACCAGCCTTTGCAAGAGCAGAGAGCAAATAATTAAAATGGGCACAGGACAGAGGTATGCCTTTCTTCTGCATAGCATTGATTATTTCCTCTGCCTCCAAGCATTTTAAATTTTCTGAATAAGCTCTAACAAGGGAGAGGTATGTGAACGAGTCTGGTGGACAACCATCTCTCTCCATAGCTTCGAATAGTTCCTTAACTTTATGATCAAGCCCTGCCATGGCATATACGTTGATCATTATATTGTAGCTAACCTGCAATTTCCCAGCAAAGACAAGAAGTAAGTACTTTCATTTATTTAATAATAATTTGGAAACACAAACGATTGGACAAAGAAATGTAGTTATGCTACATGAACTCCAGATGTATTCTAACATCAGGAACAGGAATCCCTATTCTTAAATTAATGGTTACAGATTGGTGAAGATATCAGCAAAATTAACACTATAAGATAGCAATAAGCATTCTTGTGCCAATTATAGGCCCATTCTGAGCAATATCTGGAAGAAGAGAGAAAAACAAACAATAGTAATTTCCACAGTGTCACGAGAAAATTGTAACAAAACAATTATAACTACTAGTGTATGGTGCTCATTTCTCTTCACAGCATTTCAGAAAATAATCTGTAAAGCTTTGGCAGCAGACATATACATGAGCATACCATCCCAGGTTTTATCCCCTCTTCCTGCATTTTGATGAAAAGGAGAGATGCTTCATGTCTCTTACCTACAAAGTAGACAAAACAGTGGTGTTATGTAACTTCTCAAGCAATGAAGAGACCTGGCTGCTACAACAACAAATCTACTGATAAGAGAAGATGTGAATCTGCCACCTCTAATGCACTGAGTACTAAATTAATGAACGGAACATATCACTTGCCAGTGAAATATGCATTTTATAAATGATCAATTGCAGGCATATATGCTATTAACAGTGATCCTCTGTTGGTTCTCTAATTTTTAACCATATACTAAGGCAAAAAGGGACGAACAGCACCACTTTGTTCTGGTGCAACGACAATGAATGGACATATTGTGTCCACCAGTTTCTGTGGCTTGTTAATGACAACTGTCCGCTGAAAAATAGCAGTGGTGTCATCAAATTTTGTGCAAGGGAGGTAGCATAACCAAAATTTTCTTTGGGTTATTGTTTACAACTGCCAGTGACCAATGAGCAAAAATTTCATGAAAATATTCTGCTTTCTCCTACCATCCATGGTGTCAGGTATGGTTTAAGCATGCACATTTGCACAACTGTTGATAGACAGACAGAGTGTAACTAAGGCAGGAATGCTCGGCTTGTGGATCGTTCAGAATTTGAATATGATTGTGGACATCATCACTGTTAGATCCTTGGAGAGAAAAGCCAGGAATGGAGTGAAGAGAAAAGTAGGAGTAGCTCTTTCGAACTGGGTTAAGCTCAATACTAATGAAAGAGTAGTGTGCTGAGGCATTGGTTTGGCAGATGGCTCAGGAGTTATTACAATGTCAGGTTTTTCTTCACTCTAAGCCAAGCTTCGAACGGTAAAAAGGGGGCTGGCAAAGCCTGGGATGGAGAATTTGAATACATGATCTCAGAGGCCAATTCCCAAGTGGCTTTACACCTAGTTTGGCAAGGATACCAATGGTAACATGCTACTTGTTGATGAAATTTGAGAACTCCACACGAATTGTAAATCTTGCCCTGCGAGGCAGGAAGGGAACTCTGGTGCTAACTGATTATCCAACCAAGGGATGAAGATTCTAGGAGTTGCACTTATTCAGCTCTAATCCTGGAAATTGGAATGCCAGACATCTTCACCAATGACTTCTATTCCTCGGGCTTGTAATACCTATTTTCATCTTCTTCTTATTTTTTTTCCTTTTTTTCCTTTCTTTGGCAGGCCAAAGACCAAAACAGATGATATATGCTGTATGGAAGGAAATCGTTATAGACAGAAATAAGTTACTCTAGGAACTTCACAGATTGCTATGAAATAGCAGTTGAGTGTGGATGAAGGGATGAGAAAAAACAATACAGAGGGAACAAGATGGAACTGGGGAAGGAGACAGAGTTGTAATTGGAAGTGGTGTACAAGACGAGTAATTGTCTGTTTGATGGTGGACAAGACAAAACGAAAAGTCTCCTTTACCTTTGTACTGTCTTGTCTTTGTACAACATATTTGAAACGCTATATGATTTTTTTTTTTTTCCATTTTACTATATTATGCATGTTAGTTATTCAATAATTTTTCAACACTAATAATTTTTTCCTTTTCATAATATGCAAAAAGTATATGATTAATTTATTAAAAAAAAGTTCTTTAATTTTTTATGTAAATTAAAAAAAATACATAAATGAATTATAATTTTCTTTGATTAATTTTTTTTCCCATTTGATTTGATAGAATGACACAGTAAAAAAATGTGATATAATTGCATGTACAAAAAATTTTTACAAAAAAATACATTTGAAATATATATATAAAACAAGAAGGAGAGAGAATAGAAGGCAGAGAGTCCAGCCGCAAACCAGCCAACACTAATATAAAATGCATTTGCAAGGAATTCATAGACAAATTATGCAATTTGATTTTGGAAGATATATGGATTTGAAGTTTTAATGTAACAACTTCAACATCGCATTTTTGTGTTAATTGGCTGTTTAAAAATGTGTTTGAAGTTTAGATTTGTGTTTAGGAGGTTGGTGGGAGTGTTTTCATACAATTTTGGTGAAAAGAAGACAACAAAACTCTTTTGAGTTCTGCTGAATTAGGCAACACACCCAGAAACTAGGAGCTTTGCCGGAGAAGTCGGTGTTTGGGCTTGATTCCAAGTCCAAATGCCGCTAGGCTAGGGTTTACATGCATATATATATATATATATATTCTTTTTTCTTTTCTTTTTTTCTTTTTTTGAGTTTTTGAATCTAATAGTTGAAATTAATACATGAAAGATGGATGGTGTAGATTTGAGCCTATAGGGTAGGATTAGAATTATGATTTGTTTAAAGGGACAATTGTGGAAAACTAAAATGCAACTCTTTTGTCTCTGTTACCTGTCCCTGTGTCCCTCCTTTTTGGAGGGATATAAAATTGGGTAAAAATTTTCCCTGAGGCAGAGGAGAATTAGTTTTTGTCCCCATTTCCACAACCAAACACATTTTTTCAAGAATAGACAGAAATAAGATACTATACGTGATTATTACCAGCCTTGCCATAATAGTTAATCATATTCATGTATGCCTTTTCATCCAAAGTCACACCCAAGCTAGAAGCAGTATTGAAGACCTCCACAGCCTTATCCAGCTTTCGACCACGCCCATATACACTGCATCAAATTGTATCAATTGTTAAATAGTTTAAGTGGAAACACAACTCACCACACAGATGTGCACAAGCATACAGCATTTACAAAGATCAATGTTTGAGTCATTTTTTCAACCATCCAGCTCTTACCTAATCATAGTGTTATATGTCTGAATCGATGGAGTGAATCTCAATGACAGCATGTGCTCATAGATGCTCGCTGCAAAATGTAATCTACCTGCAGCATTAGGCATAGAGATTATTGTTTTGTGCATTTTTCTTCCTTAAATAGATAAAAATAAGACGGTCTGTATCAACCTGCTTGTAGCATTGCCTTGATAAAAATATTGAATGCCACAGTATCAAGCTCCACCCTGTCATGAATACTCTTGCGAATGATATTTTCTGCTTCTCGATGTTTGCCTGGGGATGAAACAATTCTAGCCATTAATCAATGTTGCAACAGAACTTTCTTGAAAATCAATCATGAGCATGCATTCGCTTTTGAAAGCACTTTGTTCTACTGTGGTCTTTTCTTTCTTTTACTCTATCCCTTAACTCCATTTGCACTTGCACTCAAAACCCTCCCCATATCTCGAATTCTTTAAATCATTCACAACCAGACCCTTTATTGATTGCTGACTCAAAACTTCCTTACCTCAAGCCAGACTCCACCATAAAATGAAATGTAGGTAGATTACTCAAACCTGTCCTATGTGACAATTATATCAACTATAACTGCCTTTTCATAGATTTACAATTACCATATTATGGCAATGAAAGCTGTTACAGACCCAAGCAACTATTCTAAACTTACCAATATCAAAGAGGTTTGCATCACATTTACATGCATAAGATGCTTGCATAGAACTTTTACTGTCAAAAAGTATTGATAATTGCTGGTCTACTAGAGAATTGGCAATCATACCAGAATTGGTCAAAGCATTCACAACTACGCCAATACCAACAGCATCTAGATTGTGCCCTCTCTCAGTTACTTCTTCATAAAGTAAGTATGCCTCCAATTTACCACATTTGGCATATACATCAATCATTGAGTTAATAATTGGTTTTCCCAATATTGGAGAATCAGCAACTGCTGCAAAGACCTTTTGGGCCTGTTTCAGCTTGTTTTGTCTCCCATATGCACTAATCAAAGAAGCAATTGTTTCATCCTCTAGTCTGCAGCCTAGCTTGATTACTTGACCATTTACTATCTCCGCTTTGTATAGATCACCTACAGAAGATAGGAATATCCCTCAACCAAAACAGTACCTTGAAAAGCTGATGCATTCATATCTTAGAATTAACATATACAACTGTAAATAAACAAATAAAAACAATCACAAAAAAAGTGAATTTTGAGAGTTGCATACCTTCTCTAATAAAGTTTTTTACTAGCTGGCTAACCACAGACAAGCCACCACTGGCCTCAAGTATCAACTTCAGGAATTCTTCTGTCTTAGTGAAATTGCCATTTTCCAAGTACACGCTCAGGATAAGCCCCAGAGCCATGGCGTCAGCAGAAACCATTACGTTCTCCAATTTCTTGGTTTCTCCAAGCATAACCTTAGAAAATGTCTTAAAAAACCTATTATCGTTGAATGATTCATTCATGCCCATCTCATATACCAATTTTTCAGCATCTCTTAGCATGCCTTCCTTGCAAAGTACTTTGATAACTGTCTTGAAAAGATCCATATCAAAATCTACTTGATCTTTCCTTATGTGTACAATAAAATCCTTAGCCTTTTCAGTCAAGCCAAGTCTAACATATAAATTAATCATGTCACTACAAGAACCAGCATCAGGACATCCAATCTTCAATAGAGCTTGAAATGTAACTTCAGCAGAGTCCAAATCTTCTTTCATACAATAACATTGCAACAACACGATATAAGAAAATCTTGATAACCGGATGTTTCTAGATTTCATCACTTCAATAACACTCAAAGCTTTCTCAAAATTTCCTGAACTGAGATGGACCTGTGCCATTGCTAAATACGTTTTCTCATTACTCAGTAGACCTAATTGCTCAGTCTCTTCAAATGTTTTTTGCGCATCCTCATAGAGGCCAAGTTTGCCATATATTCTAATGAGCAATCCATAAATAACCTCATCAGCTGCAGTCTTCTTGCTCTGCATTTCAATAAAGAGGGAAAGGGCTTTAGAATAGTCTTCGATTTTGTAATATACGGTCAGAAGTGAAGCACAGGTGAATTTGCTCGGAACTATTCTGCAAGATCTCATGTCCTCGTACAATTTTAATGCTTCAGCCCAGTTACTATTTTTGGTACTTGCACTAATAAGCAAGCTAAATATTACTTCCTCGGGCATCAGCCCCTTGGTCCTCATCTCATTGAAAGTCTTCAAAGCATCACCGTGAAGGCCTTCCTTGACAAGAGAACTGATAACTACTGTATAAGTAAAACTATTAGGTGCCACCCTTTTATAAACCATCTGCCTCCACAATTCTATAACCTTTCCATTAAGTGATTTCTTCTGCAATGAAGACAGCATAAAATTATAAACTGCAACAGAAACTATAATCCCTCTTTCTTGTATAGCTGAAAAAAACAAAAGCATAGCCTTATGGCGACCCCATCTAGCATAAGAACACAACATGGTCCCGCACGCAACTTCATCTGGTTCACATCCTGCTTCAAGCATCTCCAAGAAGGTTTGTTCAGCTAACTTGATCTTTCCAACTTGCCCATATATTCGCAAAAGAATCGTGTAGACAATAACGCTCGGATGATAGCTGAACTGTTAAAACACAGTTCTATCATTGCACAAAATCAATTTCCAAACTTCTGTAGCTAAAAAAGAACGAAAAAAAGAGTGTTTTATGCGCGCGCGCACACACATATACATATTGAGTTTTGGTCATTCAAGAAATAAACCACAAACTAATGCTACCTATGAGCTTCCTTATATCATCAAATAATTCAAATGAAATATAAATTATGAACAACCCCGCAAATCAGAGAGAGAGAGACGATTTTTCAAGTTCTAGAAGCACATGAATTTAACATCCCATTAAATCATGAACCATCTCACATTCATTAAAAATAATAATAATAAATAAATAAATTTAAAGTGACTATAATAAGTCAAGATCAAATTATAAAAAAAAAAAATGTCTAAGCAATTCAACATATAAAAAGTCCCAGAATCAATCAACAATTGAAACCCACCTGCAATTTCATCCAGGAAAAGAAGTCTCTGGCCTCCCTCCACCCTTTCTGCTCTTTCAAAACAACACACATTTCTCTAAAACTCAACTTACCCACAAATCCACTCATAAGCAACCTCATATCCCTCTCTTCATTTCTATTGCCAGCCAATCCCCTCACTCTCTTTATAGCTGCCACAACATGCTTCCCATACAGATGCCCATTTCTATCATCCTGCAAGTACTTCACCATCTGTTCAGGTGTTCTCTTTATCCACTTTGGTGTTTCAGCTTGTGGGCCTTGGTGTTTACGCAACAAGCTCAAATATCGAGCTTTGGCTTTGATTATGCGCCTGGCGTTGTCATCTGATAATGGGTTTTTTGGGTTTTTGGAATTGGGTTTGGGTTTTGATATGTTGTTCCTGTCGCTTAAGGACCAAGGGTCTGGGTGAATTGACGATTTAATGGGGAATGTTTCGGGGTTTATGGGGTTTGGTTTTGGAGGTGGAGGTAAAAAAGGGGATTCGAGGAAGATGGTTTTCATTTATTTATTTTTTTCCCTTTTCTTCCTGCTTTTTTCTTTTTTTTACTCTCGGGAAAGTGAGATTTTCAAGGGAAATATATCAATCGGGAGAAATGGGACCTTTGCATCAGTCAGAGTGGCATGGCATATGAAAGCGCAGCGCGAAGGAGCAAGGGAGTCGGGAGGAAAAGGATAAAGAGGCTATTTGGACCAATTGTGTACGGTTTGGAATTAAACACACCCCACCCCGTTATCTCTACTGTATCGAAAAAACAAATTATTGCAACTCTTATATCTAAATAAAATTCATAATAAATATAAGATAATCATATTATAAGTATATTAAATATTTAAATTTTTTTTAATAAAGTACATCAAATTTTATTTTTTTGTTTGAATATATTAATTTAAAAAAAAACAATCAATTTTTTTCCAAATAATGATATGATAATTAATACAAAAAAATAAATGATTATGCTATTTTTTTCCTCCTAAATTGTTATTATTGTTCAACTATTTATTAAAAAAAACAAAAGAATGCCAAACATGCATGTATATATATATATATATAAAGAGTTGAAACATAAACTTTTAAAATATTGCTCCTCAATTAAATCTTAATTATGATAAAATTAATATTCAACATGTAACACCCTTAACCTATAAAGGTTAGAAGTGTTACTCGCATTGCCTCATACTCGAAGCATAATGAATACGAGACACTAAACCTTGTGTCATCTGCTTTGTGTTTGAAATACATAAGGTAATGAAAAACTTTTTGGCTTATGTACTTGTAGGCTCAAATTTGTATGATGTTTGTTGTTTAAATGTAGTATTTGAAGTGTGATTAAGATACACCATTGTGTATCGAATCCGAAAGGTCTTTGAGAGCTATGGTATTTTTTGAGAGAAATAAGATTGGCGTTCAATGCTTTATAATAAAGGTGAGAGGATTAGGCATGGGTTTTAATTCCAATGGTTTATTTAGTGTATATGTTTGTCCCAATGTGTGCAATTGAGTATATTGTGTTTCTTATGTAATATGACAGATTAAATATGGTGTTTCATGTTATGTTAATTACGGTGGTGTAGATTATTAAATGTGATTTGTAAATATAATGTGTGTATGTGAAGAAATGATCGGTGTGTGCGTGTGTATATAATGGGGGTAATTGATGTCATGTTTTGCATGAACAAATAAGAGTTGTAAATATGATGTGTGTGTACCAATGAGATAATCGATCATAAGTTTCCTAATTATTTATGGATGGAAACCATTAGAGGTTTCTCAAATTATGTATGGGTCGATACCAGTAGAGATTTTTAATTATGTAATATAGGTCGAAACTATCGGAGGTTTTCTAATTATGAGTTATGGTCAAAACAATTAGAGGTTTCCTAATTATATGTCGTGTGTCAAAATTGTTAGAGTTTTTCCACTTATGTATTGTGGGTCAAAATTGTTAGCGACTTTCCATTCATGTGTTGTGGGTCGAGGCCATTAATAGCTTCCCAATTGCGTGTTCCGGGTTAAAGCCATTAGTGGGTTCCTAATTGTGTTCTCAAAGTCATTATTGGCTTGCCTTTTTAAGCTATGTCTTGGCGTACCTTTTTAAGCCATATCTCCATGCATCTATTTTTAAGTCATGTCTCCACACACCTCTTTGTTTAAGCCATTCCTCCACACACCTTTTTTAATCCATGTCTCCACACGCCTCTTTTAAGTCATGTCCCTATGCACCTTTTTAAGTTGTGTCTTCACGTACCTTTTTAAGTTGTCTCCATTCACTTCTTTAAACCGTATCCTTATATACCTCTTTAAATCATTTTCTTACACACCTTCTTTTCATCTTGTCATCTTGTTTTTATTTCTATTAAGTTTAATACACATTCTAATAAGATGAATTCACGTAAACGAGCATAGACCCATAATGTAGTAAAATTAGACTTTTAGTTTCCATATGTATGCAATATAACCTACCTCGGGTAAGATGAGTTAGTAGTGATTCCATATCCATAACCAACCCAATCGTGTGTTATGGGTTAAGGCCATTAGTGGCCTCCCAAATTTGTGTTGTGGATCGAAGCCATTAATGGTTTCCTAATTGTGTGTCGTGAGCTCAAAGCCATTGTTGGCTCACATTATTAAGTTCTATAGTAGAGCACCATTTTAAGCCATGTCCGTATGTACCCTTTTTTAAGTCGTGTCTTTATGCACTCTTTTTTAAGCCATGTCTTCATGCATCCCTTTTCAAGTCGTGTCTCCACGTACTTTTTCAAGCCATGTCTCCATACACCTTTTTAAGTTGTGTCTCCACACACTCGTTTTAAGTTGTGTCTCTATGCACTTTTTTAAACAGGTGTCCTCATATACTTTTTTAAGTCGTGTCCTTGCACACCTTCTTTTCATCCTACCATCCTATTTTTATTTTCGTTAATTTTAATACATATTTCAATAATATGAATTCACTTGAATAAGAATAAACCCCTAATGTAATAAAATTAGACTTTTAGTTTCCACATATATGCAATGCAGTCTACCTTAGGTAGGATGAGGTAATCATGATTTCGATCTTTCTAACCCATAACCAAACCCTTACTTAGATATCTCTATAGACTAGTTATTTTGGGTTTCGTAATTTCTCCAATACTAAATGATGACTCCTTTCTTATTTTCTTATCCTTTCGAAGCATTCACTAGACCCTCCGATGTCATGTGTTTTTCTACACCGCGGCAACATTCAAAACTTATGATGGTATTTACGAATGAATGGTGATTCCATTTAAACTATTAATGCACCAAGTACATTTATGAGGCTCGTAAATCAAATATTTTGGGCTTATATATATGTATGTTTGTGGTTGTTATCACTTAATATTTTTCTTTTGTTTCTCTACAAAATAAAATATTTTCATTCATCTTTTTAGGGACCTTTTTATTGAAATTTTTAGATAATCTCATAACCTATAGGTTTTGAGAAAATATGAAAAAAAAAAAAAGAGAAAAGAAGAAAGGGGAGAGTTATTTGAAAAATTATCTCGAGTCCAATTGAAGAGATTTTAGAAGTTAAAGACTAAAAAAAATCAATTGAGCGATATAATTAAGAAGGGTTTAAAATTTGAGAACCTTAATTCGGGATGAGAGGAGGTGCGATTTGAAGAAATTTAAAAGGTAAAGGGCTAAATAATCTTAATTACGGAGATAATTGAAAGAAAATCAAACAAATTCATATTAAAATTAAAGAACACAAATGAATAGGGGATCAAATCAAATTTTTTCAAAAACATAAAAGTTGTCCGTAAAAGTATCATCTTCTTCTATTCTTGAGGGGAAAGGTTGGGAGGAGAGGGGGTTGGCATACTAGTCATTTGTCTCTTCCAAATGAGAGAAGAATAAGAAAACACAATAACCAACATCTATTATCTTCAACTTCCATCGGCATCATTTTAAGCCGAGACTATCATTGCCAAAAACCACCACCTAGCCATCGATCGGCACTCCCACACCGATCCTACAGTTCAACCAAACCACCTCCTTCCTCTCATTTTGTTTTAGTTAGAGTTACTATTCATGATCTTTTCTAAAAAAAAAAAAAAAAAGATACGACAACGCTAACCACCACCTCCAACCACGTCCTTTCTAATGGAGACACCAACATCGCCCACCCTCTACCGCATCCTCTCCAAGCAAGACACCTACTTAACCTTAAACCTTTGATCAAATCAAGAGGTTATTATTCATCTATCTCTTTAAAAAGAGAGAGAGCCAAACACCGGCAACCTCACTTAAACCCCCTCCCCTTATCGAAGAAAAAAAATTCCCAAGCACTATTAGAGATCTCCCCGATCACTCTCCTACATCTATAATAGCCATCAAACCTCTCTTTAAGCTCATTTAAGGTGTTTCTAGTAATCCGACAATCATGCATTCCATTTTTTTCGATCATTCTTGCTTACTTCACCACCTTCGACAAACATTAAAACCTCTCTTTTGCTCACTCAAACAATCCTTACCAGTTAAAATCATAAAATACCATCCCAAATCATAACCCCAACTCACCTAAAACTCATCACAAAATAATTATTATCATCTTCTTCCCCACTACCTCTTTCGTCCATCACAACTATCCCTCTTAGCCGATTTCTTTGCAACCCATAAGCTTAGCAAACCTTAACTATTTCCCCTCTACAAGCGCACCATCATAGAGTAACCAATCTATTATACTTTAAAAAAATTTTATCTATACTTTACAAAGGTTGGATAATGATATAGTTGAAGAAACAAATATGGAATTTGAATTGAATCAAAATCTATTCCTAATACATATTTTCATTATTTAACAATTAAAGTCCAAATTTATGGATTATGGTTAGATTTTTATTATGGAACGAGAGGACGGGAAAAAACCAATGGGGAGCTTATAGTATAACTATTAGTTGCTTCCTCCTTCTTGGTTAGGTCGAAACAATTTTATTCTTCAATAAGATTAAGGAAAGTAAAACTGATCCAAATGAGGGGCTTTTAGTATTTTCACAATGTTTAGGTAATCTTTAAAACGATTTATACTATTTAAAATATTAAATAAAAAATAGTGAAAATACTATATTTTGGGTGGATCGGATATATAAATTTTTTATTTGTGATTGTCGGATATTTAAAGTGAGGTTGATACATTATTGTATATCGGACCCAAAAATATTGAAGACCCTATGCATTTTAAAGTGAGATAAGGTCGATTAATCAATACTCTAAGATAAAGTTAAGAGGATGAGCTTACATTTTAATTTTAATGATTTATTCAAGATGAGTGTGGGTCTCGGTGTTTGCACTTAAAAATAATTATTATGTATGTGTTGGATGATATGATTGAGTATGTTAAGTGTGATGTTTTGATGGCTTCATGTTCATGTCCAATGCATGATTTAAATGATTTGCTATTTATGGAAATGAAGTTATTAGTGGCTTCTCATTTTTGTGAATGAAGCCGTGAGTGGCTTTCAAATATATTTTGCTATTTGTAGAAATGAAGTCATTAGTGACTTTTAATTTATATGGATGAAGCCCTTACCGGCTTCCAAAGTTGTTTAACTATTTGTAAAAATAAATCCATCAATGGCTTCCTACCTATTGTGGACGAAAATGCCAATGGCTTCCAAAGCTATTTTCTATTTGTTAAAATGAAGTCGTTGGTAGCTTTCCAAATGATGTGATTTGAAGTCTTTAGTGACTTTTTGAATTTTATGGATGAAGTATTTGGTGGCTTCCCACTTATATAGATGAAGGCATTGGTGGCTTCCCAAATGATGTGATTTTGAAATCATTAATGACTTCCTAAATTTTATAGATGAAGTCATCGGTTGCTTCATAAAATGATGTGATTTAAAGTTATTATATACTTTCTAAATTCTATAGATGAAGTCGTTGGTATTTTTTCACTTGTGTAGATGAAGTCGTTAGTGGCTTCCCCAATGATATGATTTGAAGTCATTCGTGACCTCTTAAATTTTATAGATAAAATCATCGGTAGACTTGTATGGACAAACTCGATGGCATTCCAAGTGATGTGATTTGAAGTCATGAGTGACTTCGTAAATTTTATGAATGAAGTTGTCGATGGCTTCCTACTTATGTAAAAAAAATCATCAATAGCTTTCTAAATGATGTGATTTAAAGTCATTAGTGACTTTTTTAATTTATGAATGAAGTCATTGGTGACTTCCCACTTGTGTGGACGAAGTTATCAATAGCTTTCTATTATATGATTTGAATTCATTAGTTATATCCTAAATTTTATGAATGAAGTCATTAGTGAAGAATAAAACATCCCATGAAGGAGCGAAATAAACAAAAATTTTGTTTTTCTCCATCTAAAGTGCATGAAAAAACATCTTATGGAGGTGCACAATAAATAAAACTTTTGTTCTCCTCTATCTAAATTCCCAAAATCACTCGTTGAATCAACTAATTATATTAACGGAGATCAATTAGATGTTACCTCTTAAAGTGTAGTATCAAGTTAGTGATTTGAACCGTCCAAGTTTTTGATCTCTAGTGATAATTCATGTAGCTTAGACACCAACACAAAAAAGTGATAAACGATTAAGAGTGCTAACTCTAATTCTTTTTGTTATATAGCTTGCATATAAAAAATCTTTCCGTAAGAAGATTGCGTGATTTCTTTACGTAGAAGTACGTGTAATTTCTTTATATAAAAAATATTATGCCTCTCTCTCTCTCTCTCTCTCTCTTTCTCTTTTAAGGAATTTGAGCCCTCTCTATAATATAAAAGTTATATAGCTTGATGTATCTTTCTATCCTTATAAACCCTTTATTAGGTTTAATGTACTTTTTTCTAAAGTTTTAAAAAATGTCCATCCATATAAAATGCCTATTGTAGACTTTCATTTAAGCCTCGTCAGCCCAAACACCTTTGCCCCAATGAATGAGTAATTAAATGAACCATACAAATAAGTTGGGTCATGTATTTTAAGAAGGCCCACATTATGAAACTATTTCCTAAGTTATCCCATCTGTTTAGAAAACCTAAATTAGGAAATTGATTTTCAAATTAGAAACCGATTTTCAAATTAGGAAACTAATTTCTAAAATTCTTTTAATGCTTAAGGAATTTAAATCTATCATTTCAATTCCTATTTTTATTTCATAATTCTTCGCTTCTTTTTATCCATGTCAATGTTAAGCTTATGCGTGTGACTAAATATGCTTTTAGATATATTAGTAATGTATCGAGAAGTAAAAGATACTTTTTTTTTATCTCTTGATACATAAATTAAGATTGGCCTAAAAAAGTCATCATAACTACCAAATTATTTAAAAGGATTACTTAATCTGCATCAACCTTTCACGAGTATGGTTTTTATACAATTCACTCATTCTCGTCAATTTATTAGAGTATGATCTCGAACTTGGTTTGGTGTCTATTCTATCATAATCAAACAAGTTTTCTTCAATCTCTAAATGTTTTAGATCTCAAATAAATCAATTATACTCTATTGGTACACTTCCACTATGGCCATAGATTTTTTAACATACATTCATTAAAGTACAATATGATAACTCCTTTAGATATAAGGAATGACATGTCTTATCTTATTTATCCATTTATCTTTATTAGATTCCCGATGTACCTAATAAATCACCCACATATAGCTATTTACTAAGCCCATCAAAACGAATATCAAATTACACCAATCTTTTAATGAGATAACCATGATAACTTCAAGATAAAAACTAATTATACTTATCTCATATCAAATTCTCATAAACTAAATCAAATGGGTTCTTATAGCAAGTCATGTTCAAGTGATATGTTCTCTAACATTATTCATCTATATGTTTACTTTAGTATCACCATACCAGTAAGTACATGTAATAATCTCGTCTTAAGACCTAGATAGGTCAAGGGTATTATCGATATTGATCTACATTTGATGTGTAATGAATGCAAGCCAAGAAGCCTCGCTTCCTTATCATATCTAATGTATTAGTAGAAACAAACATTTAATCATTCATAAGGTCCCTTATGTATCATTTGAGTATAAAATTTTTTGTTTCCTTTAGATTAAGTTAAGCCATACTAATTTCATATAAAACTCCTCTAATAATTTAGCCATTTCATTTTCTTTTAGTCTTTCCCTTAATATTCCTACCTAATTCTTTACTTGTCATTTTAAATTGTAATTGTTTCCTTGACCTTACAAATTTTCTCATCTTAGCCACATTATTCATTCAAGCATCTATAATCTATAACTAACCACAATTGACATACTAATGACTTAACCTTTAATTAATATTTTTATTTACATAAAATAATATTTGTTAATTAATTTATAAACATACTAAAAATTTGCTTAACTTGCCATGCATCAAAATTCAAACTAAGCTATGCAAGATTCCCCTACACACTAACCCAAACCAAAGCACACAAAATGACAAGTCCGTCACTTATCTCAATGATGACCCTTCATTTGTCTTTATCATTTCATACATCATAAGAAAACAATAATGAGTAAGACGATGCTTAATAAGTATAATTCATGCAATGCATGTGAAGTCCTTTATGTATGAATGCACATGATGCATCTTTCATAAAAATCCTTTTCATGCCTTTAAAACCATTTTCCTTGTCCTTTTTTTTTAGTGCACCATTTCGCTTATCATTTCTTCTATTGGGGCTTTCACCAAATCCCCCAACCATCAAGGCCTCTATCAAATCCGTCGATGAAGAAATGTCATTACCATATTCTTCGATTGAGGCCTTCACCAAATCCCCTAACCGTCGAGGACTTTATCGAATCCCTTGATAAAGAAGTGGGCTAATTTCTTCGATTAAGGCCTTTACCAAATCCTCCAACTATCGAGTTCTTTATCGAATCCATGGACGAAGAAATAGCATTTTCATGAAAAACCATGAAAATCATTTTCCTTTATCCTCTCATGAAAATCTTTCCCTTTTTTCTTTCATAAAAACCATTTTCTTTTCCTTTCATCAAAATCATGAATAAAATTCATCTTTTATGATAATGATGTGCATAAGTATATGTATTTGAATTAAATGCATTATAATCAACATGACCTCAATATGCATACATTACATCCTCAAGAATATTTATAAACATTATAATTCATTCACATGTTCCAAATAATTAAGTATGTAAGCAACATGGAACATATCATGGACAATCCATGACATAGAAAGCATCATCTAATAGCCAATCTAATGAGCATCATAAACATTCATGTTTTACACGTACATGATCATATTCATGTCATTCATACCTCTAAACCTTACATCTAACATTTGCCTCTTTGACCTTGTTTCCATACTTAGTCAAATTTAGGCTAA